GGGGTGACAGGGGTGACAGACAGAGGACAGGAAACCTGCCTGGCTGCTGTGCAGGTGTGACAGAGGGAGGATCACCAAGAGGTGCTTTGGGGCAGGAGGGAACAGGTCTGTACAACCTTGCTAACATCTATCTCAGACATACAGGTCAGTAAAGATCATATCCAAAGGGTCAGGAGATAACCAGCCATGCCATGAGTACTGGGCAGAGGCAAAGCACAGGACCCAACAGCCATCCCTGCTGGTTCCTGGCCATCACTTCCCATACAGTGTTAGAAGGAACTTCAAGTCCTATATCCAGCCATTTTACCCAGTTTATTTCAGCTCCTCAGAGCTGGAGATCCTTAGCCTGCCCTGACAATCAGGTGTGACACTACTGGTTTCCAACAGATAACAGCATTTCTCATCTATGGATTAATTCTGACCAACAGCTCTGCAGGACCTTCAGTCTGCCACGGCAAATTGGGAAAGCATTCACTGACCAACAGAGCTTGGAGCAAGGTCCTTCTGACATGAAAATGCTCTCAGCCTCAGCTGGCTGCAGCCCCACCACCTGCAGATGATCATCCTTGTGAGAGAGTTTGGTTTGGCAAGAGGGACCAGAGGCATGGATGATAATAATTACCTGGAAACAGGCACATCTCCTGTCAGCAGGGAAGGAGCTTTGCATTATTCATTGGATTAGACTTCATTTTGCTCTCTTTTGGGTCATTTTGGTCTTCACTGATTTAAAACCAGACAGAAGCAACTACTAGATCATATGACAGCGTCAGTTAAAGAGAGGGGAAATGGGTGATGTTCTTCTCCCACATCTAACCCGCTGACAGCACAGCTGTGGGTGTCACTGCAAGAGATTTCCGTTTTGTTAGTCAAATTGCTGCCACACAATGAATTTCTGAGTCAGTGGCTGGCACACCGGGATGGGATCCTCCAGCTCTGTTCACACATGGCTGCAGTAATCCCAAGTGGATCATCTTGTATAACCAACACCAGGATTATGCCAGAGATATGTGCCCAGTGAACAGGCACCAGGGCACTCACCGGGGGCATCGCTTGGCATTTCAACTTCCTCCTGCACATCCCACCCGAGAGGATTCATCTGCTTATCCCAGGATGATCTGGAACCTACTCCACACACATCCCTGCACATCAGCTTCCTACCAGCAGCTGCAAAGCACACGCAGCCACCACCTCCTCCACGGGAAAGGTGAGGTGCCAGCAGGTCCAGCTGTCCCTGGGGCGAGCGGAGCCTGCACACATCCTTCAGGAGCAGGAGCATTAGTACTTCACTTTCAGCCTGCAGGGCCAGGCACGTCTCCTGGTTTCCTTTGCACATCTGCAGCTGCTTGAGCTGCTTCCCATGGGCAGGTGTGAGGTGCCCAGCACAAGGCAAGGCTTCACCAAACAGGCTGACTGCTTTTCCCAGGCCTGCTCAGACCCTGCCTTAGGAGGGGCACAGACAGTCAGCTCTCTTCATCCCAGTATTCCTTGCTGCAAGTGAACTTGCAGGAGCATTTGCCAACCCCTCTCCACCTGCTTGTTGCAGGAAAACACTTGGGTTAAACTGAGGGCTGACGTATCTAACAAGTTCCCCCTCACCGTGTCTGGGTGTCGTTGTCAGTGCCCCCACCTTGTGCCTAGTTCTCTCTCTCCAGACTGGGTGTGAAACTTCTCTCCTTTTCCTCCATCTGTACTCCTTCTATATCTGCTCCTCTGCCCAGTGACTCCTCTCCCTCACCATGGAGCTCCAGCTGAGCAGAGGGCAGGCTGCTGGTCACAGTGCCAGTCCTGCTCTGCCAGTGCCACCCACAGCTCTGCACGGAGCTGCCAGGTTTGGTGTGAAATACCAGAGCCAAGCTCTCCCCTCTGTCCTGGGAGCTGCTCAGAGCCTACTGCACCCCAGAGACAGAGGGATGTGGCACCAGGGGCAATAGCCATGTGCTGCCACACAGTTTTCCCCATCCCACGCAGCTGCCCCATCCCTCGGGTCCCAGCTGTGCCACAGACACACACACAGCCCTCAGAGCCACTGGGCTCAAACTTCTCCCTTCCCAACCTGTCACTTTGCTCTCCTGGCAGTCCCAGCCTCGCGTGCAGGACTGGCACCCACAGCCCTGCAGAGCTGTGGGACTGGAAGGAGGCACGAGGAGCTGGTTTGGGGTCGCAGTGGACAGGAGTGTGTTCCTGTCAGGCCACGCAGGGCTGAGCCAGCCCCTATGCTGTACCACCCCCCACCTCCACCACCACAGCCACCAGATGCTCAAGGGCACACTTTTGATTCACCTCATTGCAAAGGCTGAAAACAGGTAAAAATGCAGGTGCAAGAACAGGATCTTCACCCTCATCAAAATGAGAGGGTTTGGAGATGAGGTTTTACTTTAAGATCGTCAAAACAACAGCTGGGGGAACCCACACAACGGTGCCAGTCAGAAAGGATAAAATTTATGGACATGTCTTTGACATAAGAGGAACTGGAGGGAACGAAGATGCCTGAGCAGACCCTCAGCTCCTTTCCTCCACTCACACAGGAGCCAGGCTGTGCCTCCTGCCCAACCCCCCGTGGGTTCAGTGATGTCTCTAATGGACCATCCCAGCCTGTCCCCAAACCCTCCCGTGCCTCAGCCTCTCTGGAGCTGGATTGGAGCTCAGCAGTGCTCCGAGGACTCAGCACACCCCTCAGCAAACAGCTGCAGGCTGCCTGTGCCAGATGTGTCCTGCAGGCCCTGCATTTCGGGAAAACCTCCTCCACAGGGAACATTAGCCTTAAGAGCACCTAAAATTGAACACAAGGAGAAGAGGTCCTGCAATATTGATGGTGCAGAGCTCTACCAGCACACGCTGTACCCGTGAGAGGCTGCTCAGCTCACACCCCTCTGGTCCCGCTGAGCTCCTTTCAGCTGATGTGTATATGAAGAATGTTCTTTGTCTTTGTGCCAGCCACAGGCATTTATCTTCTGAGTGGTGTTTAGAGCATACAGTGTGTTTGGTGTATCAAAAACATATTCCTCCTCCTTCAGAAGTAATCATCCTTTCCCGGCTTGGGAGAGTCACTCCAACAGGCCTTTCACAGGAGCTACTGAGTGGCTCTGCAAACCACCTCTGCCTCTGCCTAACCAGCTGTATTAGACACCTCCCAGGCTCAGCCCCACTAACCTGATCACAGCTTGGTGAATCAACACTCATACAGACACAGTTGGCAGCTCCTGACCAAATACTTCTGGCTAAGCAGCTGCAGAAATGTCATATTCCACTGAAAGCCAGATGTCAACTTTATTGGTCCTCAAAGCTGCAGAAGAAATGGCTGTGGGAAATTTGGGATGAAATGACACTGGGGAGTTCACAGGGGGGTTCTTCAGCTCTAGGTGAGTCCTGTCGCTGTCGTGCCTGGTCTCAGTGGCAGCTGCAGCCAGACCTGAGCACAGGCTGGAGAGTGTCTGCAGCTCCTGTGCGGCTCCAGCGCAGCACCCGCCCCCTTGCACCGAGAGAGGCACCTGGCACCACAGCCACTGCTTCAGCTTCTGCCCTTGGAAAAACCATCTCTGGCACTGCATCTGTGTCAGAGCCCCACAGAACAGGAGCCAAATGCAAAGCCTGTTAAAAGGGATCAGATCTTTCCAGGAACTGTAATTGGATTGGGCTTTCCCTGCGCTGGTGAGAGAAGACTCTGTGGCACCTACTACAGACTTTTGCTCTCCAGAATTTCTGAGGTACCTCTCATCTCGGGCCCTGACCCTGGCTGCAGTGATGGGGAAACAGTCAGCAGCCCTTGAAGGTAAAATCTCCAGAAATATGACAAAGGGAAGTCTGTGTTTGCTATATCAGGCAAAAATCCTCCTGCAACTAGCAAAATCTACTGTGCCTGTAAGGAACTTACTTTTTTCCCTGACTTTAAATATAAATGCAACCAGAATTCATTCTAATCCACTCCTTTAACTCTGTTAATTCCACTAGAACTTGTACGAGGCAGTGATTTCAAGCAGAAGCTGCCTAATAACACGAGTCATCCATCCCTGTCGGAGTGTAAGCGGATCCATGACCTTAGAACGGTTTTGCTAAGAAATCCAGCTAGAAAACTAATTTTGAGTGAATGTATGCATGTCAAAAGCCCAGATGGCTTGTCGGGATGCTAACTTAAGCATCATTACATAAGCAGCTTAGGGCTGCCTGTTGAGCCCCACACGAGAGCGGATGGTGCTGAAGCTGTGGAATTACACCCAAACTGTTCACTTCCATACCTCTTCCATCGCAAACTTTTGTCAGCTCCCCACGCCGTGACCTGCTCGCACCACAGCAGCTCTGCTGCCAGGCACTGTGCCCCCATCCCCATCCCTCTCCCGAGGCCGCTGGCCAAAGCAGCAGCTGCTCAGAGCCCATTCCCACAGACGGACAGCAGAGTTGTTCCCCCCTTCACCCTCCTCACATGAGAATGGAGGAAAACACGAGCCTCTCAAATACTTCAGCACGGCAGTTGTGGGATGATTTTCTAATGCAGACGGAGAGAACCCAGATGAGCCTGGCGTTCCCATGGGTAACGGTGCCCGCACC